TTTTAGTTTTGGATCTGTTTTTAGTTGTTTTAATACTACAATTGATTGCTTTTATTGTCCTCATTTGTAAGTCGCTTTGGATAAAAGCGTCTGCTAAATGACTAAATGTAAATGTAAATGTATTACAGCATGGTCAGGATTTTGTTTGTTGTGTGTTTTATGTTACCATGGATTCAAGCTGTGGCTCCTTCATACTGTTATTCTACACCATTATATGGGCAAAAAGTTTAAAATGATAACTTTTTTCTCCTCTTTCCTATTACTTGTTTCTCTTCTGTTTCAGTTTTTATAACCATTTCTTACTATGTGTAAGTAAGTTGTTGTTTTTTAGCACGTGTGTTTGGCAGTGTTATTTTTTAGGATTACTGATAAACTACTGTCATTTGATTTGTATTATTTGTATTTGTTATTTATTTTAATTTTAGTTAAATTATGTCTGAATTTATTATGTCTGTATAGGTAGGTCTTTTATTAAGTTTTAGTTTTATTTCATTTGAGTTATTTTAATACTTCAACAAACTAAATGGAAATGAAATAATATATATATTGAATTTGTAAATGTGTATATATATGTATGTGTATGTGTGGTTGTACATGCACATATGTAGTTTTTTTTTTTGGTGTTTCGCTTAGTGTTATGTTAGAATCATTATTATACTCTTATACCTTTTGTTCTTTAATATTTTGAATTGTTTTTAGCTTTATTTTTTGTTTTTCATTTAAATGTTAAGTTTTGAAATTTTGTTGTATGCATTTGTCATTTTTATTTAATCTCTTTATTTTCAAAATGTGTATAAGTAGTATTTATAAAGTTTTAGCTTTTAGTTTTGGATCTGTTTTTAGTTGTTTTAATACTACAATTGATTGCTTCTGTTGTCCTCATTTGTAAGTCGCTTTGGATAAAAGCGTCTGATAAATGACTAAATAAATAAATAACTAGGGGTATAATGTATGAAAGAATGTAATTTCGGAATAATCAATAATTCACATTTATTCTCATCTATATTAGGAATATAGAAAGTGCAGACCAGAACAGGTCTACAGCCCCTACACCACAGTATGATTACGACTTAATTCTTGTATGATTATGACTTCATAGGTGTAGTAGAAACTTAGTGTAAACTAGAAACCACATTTTTCCCATATGGGACAATAAAGTAGGCTATATTCCATCCTACTGTGCTGTAGGAAATGAGTCCATCAACTGAGTTCACCTTTGTGCACTTGGAATATCTTTAAGATGACTTTGTTTAATATATCTTTCACAAATGGACCCAAATGAATGTCCAAACCTGTTGTAACTAGTCAGCCCTTTATTTATTGACATTGGTATTTTAGAATCAAAACTTAAAATATGTTTCTCTGAAACATATGAGTTTAGTTTGTATTTTTAGTTTTTTCAAAAACTAAAAATTAAGTAAAAGCTCTTAAAGCAATTCACCCGTAGATGGGGCTGTTGCTCTCATCTTTCCCTTGAATAATTAAATGCCAGCTGTCGTTTCCATAATAATGAAATGATTGCTATTTGCCATTCAAAGCCCCACCCAGATTTTTTCTTTATAATATACATGGTTAAAAACAACAACACGCACAAAACAAAACAGTGGAGCAGAAGAGAACATGCACAGAAACATTACATATAAGCAGAGGCGGACAAAGTACTCAACGCCATTACTTGAGCAACACTGCTTTAACAAAAAAGCAAAACAGCAAGACTTATTTGACATTAAAACAAAAATTATAAAATGCTGTCTAATCGCTCTTGTGGTACTTTGATGTCACACACAGAATGGTCTGCAGTGCTGCTTCAAGTCCAACACCTATTGTGTTTTATTAGGAGACGCACAACCGTTCTTCTGTGACTTTATAGGTAATATTTTCACTTACACCATTCAGCAAAATCAGACAATATTGTGTCTAATATATACCACAATATTAACTTCCTATTATTGAATTGTTGTAAATAAATATCACATTTGCAACTGGTCAGTGTTCAAAAAATGCTGAGAAATCACTTCATGTAGCCCTACAAGAGTGATTACTGATAAACTGTCTGGAAAAAAAAGAAAGTCACGTTTTAGAGAAGAAAAAAATCACCCACTGACTTTCAAAGCTGCTACATAACGACTTTGTTCTTTGAGGACCTTGACAGAAATGTAGTGGAGTGAAAAGTACAATATTTGTCTTTCAAATGTAGTGAAGTTAAAGTCATAAGTTCCCAGAATATGATACTCAAGTAAAGTACAGATACACAAAAAGTGTACTTAAGTACAATACTCAAGTAAATGTACTTAGTTACTGTCCGCCTCTGCATATAAGCATGAGAGAGTTTTTCATTATTAAACAGATTTCTTTCATGCCCTGCTTACAGCATCCTGCATATTAAATTTTTTTATTAATAGGAATATGTTGTAGGCTTTATACCGAGAATTAACACTATTACAGCCACATGTGAACGTGATATTTTATTTACAGAGCTCGTGTCATAAACACGACATATCACACAGCGCTCGTGGGTTCCTCGTATATATATATATATATATATATATATATATACCCAATGAGGGAGAGCACGTTCTTAAAAAAGCCCAACACATTTAAAGTGCAGCACATTAGAATACACAAATCACTTTGTATTTCTGAACAGATCATTTATCACAATGATTTACAGAATAGTTATTCAATTGTTTATTAATTTGATGATTAATTATTTACATCTATTATAATGGTTTGTGGCTAAATTATATTTTGTCATTGAACATCTGTGCATGCGATATGGATACTGTACCAAGTTTGGAACCCTTTTCTACAGACAACAGCAGTTTATGTCTTTCAGTATCTGATTACAGGCTTGAGATTCTAGACTACATGTTTGGATTCAAAACATTCAGCAGAAAGACAAAAAGCCACGTGTTCAAACATCACAAGATCAACTTGCAACCGGATTCCCTGGGGACCCGGACCACGTGGACCAGTCTGTCTGAAGAGCTTGGAAACTTGTCCCTAAAGGAAAACCACAACCAGGGGACAAAGGGGAGAGTGTGATGGATGCATGTGGTGGGAAAATGCCATCACAATCAGGCCCATCCATCTTTATTTCAGATAACAAATGAACTGTGTCTATATCAAAGTATTTCCTATGGCTTCAACATATATCAGCAAAATGCAAATTGTTAATGATTTATACATAGGCCTATTTCCAGAGAATTTACATTTAGGTAAATTGTAGAATGTGGTTATCCTAAAGCGGCAAATTAAAGTAAACAATAATTTTATATCTTGCACATAAATAAATAAACGAATCTCCTCTAGGCGTCTCTCATTTGATAAACAAATGAACATCAGCCATATCAGTACACTTTCACTTTGCGATCTATGTTCTTGTATTAACTAGCCAGCCTGTTTATAATACAGTAATCGCAGCGAGCCCTGATGCTGCAGACAGTGCGAGCGGATCGCCGAATGAGTCGATGTAGCTGTCGCTGTATACGCCTGTCATACAGGGAGGGAAGTAACCGTATCAAATGCGTATTGTGGCATTTTAGCACGTTATCTGCGACAGGGTCGCTGTCGTTCTCGACTCACCATGGTGTTCGAGTCTGTAGTCAGTGATCTCTTGAACAGGTTCATAGGAGATTATGTGGAAAACCTGGACAAGTCGCAGCTCAAAATCGGCATATGGGGGGGTAAGCGTTTATTCGTCAAAACAGCCTGTCAGCATTAGTGCAAAGAAGCGCTCGTATTCTATTCTGGTTTGTTGTCTTGCAAAACGTCCTATATCGATATGCAGTGCGAGCTAGTTGTAAATTGAATGCAGTGTCCATCAAGGTCTCTCGTGCTGGATTGGTTTCTGTTCTGTAAGACTGGCAGTCTGTCAAGTTGCTTGCCACAAGGAGTCGTTCGGAGGCGATAAAGACACATTATTTATACTGTTTAACGTTACTTTGATTAGTTTTACGGGTTTCCGCCTTTATTGTGTTAAAAGGATTTCAGTCATCATCATTACTCAAGCCTGTTACTTTCCGCTTACATTTATATTTTATGAGACAGAAAATGGTTCTCAACAATTGGCTGTGCAGATGAATGTACAGTCATTATCGCAAACACTGCTGTTTATTCTGTTCTGTTGAATTTTTGCAAGTAAAGCTCAAGGTGAAGTGGACCACACCTTCATAGATAATAAAAAGTTTAATCATGTCATTCGTTTTCCTGAAAATTTGAAGTGCTGTACACTTACTCTTTATGTCATACTGGGAATACAGAGTGTCGCATTGTTGGATCTTTAGGAACAGATTCAAAATGTCTTGGAAAAGTTAAATTCCAAATATCTTTTTGGGAAAACTTGGGGCACTATATTACTACAGATGTATCTCGATGGCCCCAGTGACTCATATCCCCCCATTACTCCTATCAACACTAATGACTCCATTTTAGAGTTTAAACAGTTTGTGTAAACAGGATCATACACAATCACTGATGGGAACATGACCCTTTCATGTCCCTGTGCTTAATCATTCTATTTGTGGTAGATGTATTTTTAATGTTTGTAGGTTTATATGCAAATATGTGTTTTCCCTTATCAAATTACTGTCATTCTGCTGTGTTGATATAGTCGCTGTACAGGATGTGTCAAGGCCGGAAGAACTCCGACTAGATTCTTTCAGATAAATTCCAAGGATAGTTTGAAGCCCACGTTCATTAGAATCATAAGAAACATATGTTGGCATGAAAACAAAAATTCACCTCATCTGTTTATGCATGTCATAGATCCTACTGTGAACAAATTATCCATTTATATGTTTCATATTTTAAATCTCGTAATTTTTTATCAAAATGTCATAACATGCCATTGTCAATGGATCGTCCGATGGAAATGGCAGACTTTTCTCTAGTGATGTATGCAGGACTTCTCCAAACCTGCTTAAACCCCACCTTTGAGAGATTCGTATTGATCCCTAAAAGGCTAAATGAACACAGACCACATAATACATTATGTACAGTCTGCAGTATACATTGTCATATAGTATGCATGATATAAAATGTACAGTAAATCATTTTTTTTAAATATTTTTATGTATTTATTTTTTTTGTAGGAAATGTGGTGTTGGAAAATCTGAGGGTGAAAGAAAATGCTTTGGTAAGAATGTATTGGACAATATTAAGTTTAATTACATTTTAGGTATTATTTTAATGCAGATTTGTGTTTTTATTAACATGACAAAATTAAGAATATAGTTAAAAAAACACTCACATACACACACATAAAAGAAGCATATTTATCTTGATAAGAGTGTGCGTGTCTTGTGTATGTAGCGCTGTGGATCCATTTATATGTTTCATATTTTAAATCTCGTAATTTTTTATCAAAATGTCATAACATGCCATTGTCAATGGATCGTCCGATGGAAATGGCAGACTTTTCTCTAGTGATGTATGCAGGACTTCTCCAAACCTGCTTAAACCCCACCTTTGAGAGATTCGTATTGATCCCTAAAAGGCTAAATGAACATAGACCACATAATACATTATGTACAGTCTGCAGTATACATTGTCATATAGTATGCATGATATAAAATGTACAGTAAATCATTTTTTTACATATTTTTATGTATTTTTTTTTTTTTTAGGAAATGTGGTGTTGGAAAATCTGAGGGTGAAAGAAAATGCTTTGGTAAGAATGTATGGGACAATATTAAGTTTAATTACATTTTAGGTATTATTTTAATGTAGATTTGTGTTTTTATTAACATGACGAAATTAAGAATATAGTAAAAAAACACTCACATACAAACACATAAAAGAAGCATATTTATCTTGATAAGAGAGTGTGCGTGTCTTGTGTATGTAACACTGTGGTTAGTGGTAAAAACTCTAAAGCATCTGCTGAATCAAGAGTGTGCTAACACGAGATTTGCTGATGTTACCACAACTAAATCATAATAACTAGAGTTTTACTATGTATGTGTGCACAAAAAGAGATTTCTGATATTGTATGCTTGAAATCTGCATTTCAGACCCATTTCACCAATTTATCTTTGTTCTTTAGAGCGAGTTTGACGTCCCTTTTAAAGTGAAGGCTGGTCAGATTGGTGAGTATCCAACTTTCACTTTATCAGGCAAATTGTGCTGCAGCATGTGTAGTGTTATGGGAAAGTGTGAAATGTGTAGTTTTCTCATATTCTGGCGCATGTGTTTATAACCTGTAACCAAGGAGATTGAAGTAGAAAAAGTTTCAGTGTTCAGTTTGATGAATCGCGCTTCCTATTTTGTGCCGCTCTAGATAGATTATGCTGACTGACTGAACTTTGCAACAGCAGTTTTCAGCAATAAAATAGATTTTATTTCACTGCCTGATGTTTGTTAGGAGAGATCACACTCCAAATATAATAAAAACAGCTGAGCAGTAGTAAAGCTTGTTGTAATATGAATTTGAAAATGGTAAATTGAAGTTTGAGGTCTACTTTCACAGTCCCTAATTTTTCCTCAATAGATTTGAGGTTGAGTTGAAGCAATTTTCAACAAATACTTCTATTCATGAATAATCACATAGGAGCTGGAGGTTAAAATATCATGAGATAAGGCAGGTTGTGGAAGCAATATGACACTGTTGTGAAACTTTATAGGCCTCCTGGACTAGTTAAAATGGCTTTGTAAGAATAATCAATTTCAGTAAAGTTGTTATATAATGTTTCTGTAATTCAGCAAACATCACAGCACAGATGTCTTGCCAGTAAGAGGGAGCTTGCTGAAATCAGTTCATGTTATCACATGATCCAGTCAGATGACTTTAAACGTTAGCTGGACAGTGTGCCAAGATGTCAAGCAGTAAAAAGTAATTGGTTAACAAGGACGACATGCTTCTCTGAATAGCTCTGTGAAATTCCTTCCATATTTTCTGCATTTTACAAAATCTTCATTCAAAAAGAGCTACTTGTTATTGTATATAAGATATCTAGCCATAAGTTATCCAGTAACCCTTGATCTGTAATGCAACAAATTAAAATTTTCACATTTTCCTAATGCCTTTAAAATTTTTCTGATGCCTTTCCACGTTTTTTTTTTTTACGTCTGATCTCATTCTTCAACAAAAGTCTGTCTAACAAGTCATTTTTAACAAGTCTGGCTATTCTGCCTAATAACCATTTTTGTATTGTACTTTACTAATATATGTGTCTTACTTTTAACTGAGATGCATGGAAAAACATAATGCTAATGATTTCAGAGGATCTACATTAGTGTAATTCAAGCACTTTTATCTTTCATATTGTCACACTGAATTGAAAATGTCTGCTCTTAAGGTAAACTGACTCTGAAGATCCCTTGGAAAAACCTGTACAGTGAGGCGGTGGTGGCCACATTAGATGGATTATACCTTCTGGTGGTTCCCGGTGCAAGTGAGTGCTTATAGTTTTTTTTTTTTTTTGTCTTACTTAAAATGTTCCCTTAATGCAACATGTTTCTTAATGTGGAAGTTTAAATTGTTTATATATCTAACTTGAAGCACGATGCTATTTATTTCATGGCACTTTACTGCAGTAATTTGTCTGCAAAAAAACTTTCATTTTTTGTTATAACATCTCCTCTTAGGAATAATTGCATGATTTATATATAACCTAAATGGATTCCTGCCTCTTAACTGAGGGGTGTGTAGTGTCTTGCATTATAAAACATTTCACTAAACAAAGAAAATGTAATTATCATTGAAAATCGTATTAATGAAAACATGCAGCACCAGACACAAAATACTATATACTTATAACAGTGTTTCCCAACCTTTCTTTAGTCGCGGCACCCTTTGGAAATTGTAACAAATTTGTGGCACCCTAAAAAATTAATTTTGTCACAATATTTGAATTTCTAACTTCGATATGATACTTTGAAAAGTATAGATATTCGGTACAGCAGGGAAGAACTGCAGAATATACTGTATGCTTTTTTTAACATTTTAGCAATTTAAAAATATTAAAAAATTATTTTTTTACACGGCACCCCGGTTGGGAAACACTGACTTATAATACATAATATATTACAATTTTGATAATTTGTTATAAATAATGCTTTTATTAATTACTATTATAAAAAGTACAGATCCCTGAAGAGTCCTGATAATAATTTGGGATGTTATGCATTGACACTGAACAATCTCTTTAAAAAAAAAACACTTGCATCATTATTATCGTTGACCCATTTGAAAGCTATGTGGGGATGTTATTTTTTTGCCTAATGTAGTAGCAATTACAAATATATTGAATAACTGAATTTCTTTGATACAGTATATACCTTCTATATGACTTGGGCTGCTTCGACTGACATTGTCTTTTACATGTTGCAGCTGAGTCTAAGATATTTTCCTCACCTTACAATGGTAAGCCAGGTCTAGAAGGTGGGTAGCAGGGTGGTGGCTTGGGACCCGGACCGATAAGCTGCTCTTGTGTGTATCTGACTCTTTGATTATTATGGCAAACTTTATATTTACCTATGGTTACAATGTTTAATCATAGAAATGTTTAATCATATTTGGAGAGCCTTTGATAGCATGTATTGACAGTGTATCAGTCAAGAGTTTTGGGAGTGTTTGTTCAAATTTGGTATTGATCTCGGTAACTTTTTTCCATTTTTCTTTTGGGATCTGATCAGTTCTGTGTAATGCATGTTCTGTAAGTAAAATGCAGTAAAATTATTTTGACTTTTTTTAAGCATGCTCCTTTCTGTCTGTCTCTTGGAATGAAGACAGTCAGCTTCTACATGCCAATCAAAAGTTGTTGATTTTTTTTTTTAAAGATATACACAAGCTTTTCTCTTTGGGAACATATGTGTCAGCCACATGGACTAAACAACATTGCTGAAAGATGTGCTGTAAAGTTGGATTGCTTCAGAATGATATAATGCACCGGGTTCAGTGCAATGTCCTGTAAATTCACTATTATTATCCATAATACTGTAAATATGTACATAATCTTTAAATATTTCTATTCTGACGTACCCTGTCTTCATACTTTTCATATTTTTATTCTTTAATTTTATTATTATGTGTCTTGTTGTTGTACAGTATTTATGGGTACACTGAAAAGCTTTAACACCAAGAAAAACTCCTTGTGTGTGCAATCTCACTTGCCAATAAAGCTATATCTGATGAATAGACTGTATCTCTAATGGATTGAATTGCCTCAGGAACTTTACAGACCCATTTGGTCTCTATAGACTAAAAATAACAAGTGGCAATTTCTTTATATGACATTATTGTTTGGTCTACTTCATAATTGTTTCTTTTATTACTCTAGTGAAGAGATAAACAGTGGTAGCACGTACAATAGCAGGCATTATGGTTTTTGTTTCTCACATGGATTGGTCTGAATCAGTCCTTCCTGATAGAGCTTCACCAGTGGATTCCAGATCAGAGGACAAAGCCGCAATGAAAATCTTAAGTCTGCTTGAATGAGCAGCATTAGACTGTAGCTACTTATAAGTCACAGTGCAAAGCGAGGGAGAAGGTCATTGTAAATTACTTTTCTGTTATTACATGGTTGACTGAGCTCCCAGTGTGTGAATCTATATTTGGTTTTCCATGTGTACATTTGTGTGTATGCAAAGACAAATTTAGGTGACAGTAGTGAAAACAGATAAATGGTATATGTGATGTTTGTTTGCCTCTAACTGCGTGTGTATTGTGTGTTTAAAGCGATTAAGTATGATCCAGTTAAAGAAGAGCGTTACCTGCAGGAGGCCAAACAGAAGGAGCTTCAGCGCATTGAAGAAAATCTGCAGCTGGTTGCACGCAGAGGTGAGGAACCACTTGTCTGTTTGTATGTGCAGGACGGAATAATTTCTTGACCTAGTTCATAGTCAATTTTTGCATTGAAATTTGCCAGTTCTCTTCTTATGCTCTCTGTACAATTCATATGCAGCTATTGGAAGTGTTACTTTATTAACGGATGTTCATCATTTAATTAAATCCCATCCATTCATACCATAATCAGTCTGTTTCAACTTCATTCATCATTCATTGCTTCATTTAATTGAGGTTGCACGTTAAATCTGCATTGTATCAGTTTATTGCCTCAGCCGGTGTTGCATATTTAATTGTTTCTGCCTGTTTTAGGGTTTAGATCATTTTCTAACACTAACTTAAAAGGATAGCAGTATAATATGGCAAATATTTAAACCTTTAAGAGCACTTTCTCTTTAACAGGGCATGTGAAGTGAGTTGCTGTGTGCGTGTAACAATATTAAAGCTGTGTGGGAGAAAACCCACACTGAAAAAAACAAAGAAACTTTGTTTCAGACCACACAAACAGTCTTGGAGTTTTTCAGGAACTGTCTGACCAGCATCAGAGGTCCCTATTATTAGGAGCACTTCTTCTTAATTGAAACTGTATTTTTTCTATAGCAGATTCCAAAATAAATATTTACATTTACATTTAGTCATTTAGTCATTTAGCAAACGCTTTTATCCAAAGTGACTTACAAATGAGGACAATGGAAGCAATCAAAATCAACAAAAGAGCAATGATATACAAGTGCTATAACAAGTCTCAGTTAGCTTAATGCAGTACAAGTAGCAAGGTTTTTTTAAAATCATATAATAAATAAAAAAGAAAACAGATAGAATAGAAAAAGAATAGAGCAAGCTAGTGTTAAGCGGCCTTTTTTGCTTTTTTATGTATCCATCTTTTATACTGAACGTTATATTGTTATGATGTTCAAGTAAAACTGTTCAAAAGTTTGGTGTCAGCAAGTTTTTTTTTTATGTTAAAGAAATTAACTTTTATTCAGCAAGGATGCATTAAATTGATCAAAAGTGACAGTAAAGACATTTGTAATGTTATAAAAAAGTAGTTTTTCAAATAAATGGTGTTCTTTTGAACTTTCTATTCATTGAAAAATGCTGAAAAAAAAGTTACTTGATTTCCACAAAAAATTTAAGCAGCACAACAGTTTTCAACATAAAAACTATTATCTTTCTAAAACAGCAGATCAGCAAATTAGCATGATTTCTATAGGATCATGTGACACTGAAGACTGGAGAAATGGCTGCTGAAAATTCAGCTTTGCCATCAGGAATAAATTACATTTTAAAATATATTAAAATAAATAATATATTAAAATTTAAAATATAATAAAATATATTAACAGTTATTCTAAATTGTAATATTTAATTTAAATTAATTTAATTGTAATATTTTAAATAGATTAATCTATCAATTGCCACAGGATGAAAATAATTTCAAAATATCAATTTAAATATTGGTGCATCCCCACATTAACTCCTATATTTATTCATTTATCAACCCATCCATCCATTCATCCATACATTCAGATCTATGTCCCTAACAGCTGTGTGTGTTTGCTTTGTGCTGCATCTGATGGACGGCAGGCTCTCAGGCTGGAGAGTTTGTGTTTAGTCTGGAGAGTTATGTGTATAAGAATCCACCACAGGGTATGTACAGACCCATTCCTATAGCAGGCTAGTCCTACACCCGTCTCAAAGAGACTTTTTATTTGAAAGTGTGCATTGAGGGTGTATATGTGTAGACATTTTTTTCTTCCTCACTACTTGGTGTGCTTTGGTGCAGTTTTATGTTTGTTTAATCCAAGTGCGCGTGTTTATTGTTGCGCTATGGTTCTTTTCTACCTCACCAACTTTTTTCTCTCTCCCAATGCTGCTGCGCTCTGTAAGACAAAGGACGTAAACTTAAAAAACATAAAAAACCATTTAGGAGATCTAAAAAGTATGAACATAAAGCAGGTGGGTGGCCCGGGGCGACTGTGATCGACTGTGATCGTGGCAAATATGAGCAAATATTTTAAATCGTTTTATTCTGTTTGTATGAGTAAATATGTTTGCATAAGCATTAGATTGTTTAAGGCATTAGAATGACAAATGGGATGGAGTTACAATAAACCCTTTATGTTTACTATTGTTTTTAATCTCAGAGAAGCCCCAGGAAGAAAAGAAGGACACGTTTGCTGAGAAACTGGCTACACAAGTTATCAAAAACCTCCAGGTCAAAATCACCAGCATTCACATCAGATATGAGGATGATGTAAGTGCTGACTCTCCATACATTTCAGCTCTTCAGTTATGTGTATTTTTGAATGTATATGTCGCATGTTAATGAAGATGTGGCTTTTATTTTATTTATGTAATTAGATTATATGTTTTCATTTTCCATCTGTGCTTCAGGTGTCAGATCCACAAAGACCTCTTGCTATGGGCATGACTCTTTCAGAACTCAGTCTACAGGTGCTCTCTCAAAACACATTCATATAAATGTCACAAAGTGAAGATCACTTGCAAGAACAATTAATATGAAATAAGCAGTTCTTATTTGCACACTCTGGTCTTTCCGTACGTCTTCAGTTTTTCTCTCTTATAGACAGCAGATGAGAACTGGAAGACATGCATTCTAAATGAAGCAGCCAAGATCATCTACAAGGTAAACCACAAGAGTATATGTCTTATTTTGTGTAGTAATAACAAGATCTCATAGTACAACTGGGGTTGTGTGTTTAACGTGAGTGTCTATGTGTATCATCTACATAAGCTGGGCCGCCTGGAGTCTTTTTGTGCCTATTGGAACATGAACAGCCCAATCTTCTACAGAGGCTCATGGGAGGAAATAGTGGTAATGTGCCTCTTTTCTCTAACAGCCAAGCTCTATGGTGGTGTTTAATTAGGATTTTCATAGTATTGATATAGTGTTGAAGACTACTATGTTGTCCGCAGGCATTGTAAATGGTGCACTATATTAAAAAGTTTAAAAACTTCTCTGTCATCATTTACTCACCCTCATGTTGTTTCAAACCAATAAGACTTTTGTTCATATTCGACACAAATGAAGTGATTTTTAATGAAGGATTTCTGCGCCTCTGTCCACTACACCAAAAATGTCAATGCTTCATAAAGTTCATAAATACATTGTAAAAGTAATCTAAAGGAATCAAGTGGTTTAATCCAAGTCTTCTGAAGAGACATAATTGCTTTATATGATACATATAAACATTCATCAACGCATATACATCAATGCATATAAGAGCACATCAAACTGGTAATCAGAAGCTCACCTGCACTTGATACACAAGAACCAATCATGTTTGTTCTTGCTCGTCAAGCAAGTACGATTGAGCTTCCATTTACCTTATTTGATGTGCTCAGTGAATGTGCTGATCAATGTTTATATGTGAAAAATATCTCAGTTTTCATTAATATCTACATTTGTGTTTCGAAGATGAACGAAAATCTTGAGTTTGGAACAACATGAGGGTGAGTAATTGATGACAGAATTTACATTTTTGGATGAACTAACTCTTTAGAAGAAGCACAAGAAGGAAGCATAAATTAATTTTGTTCATCCTGTTATGCCCCAAAGATGCAAGGAAACAACCCACCTGCTTCTATTTAAGTGTGAACGTGTGCAGACAAAGTGTGGGAAGATCTGAAGGTGCTTACAGACAATTGGTACAAAATGTTCTTTAGTCAGTGAAAGTGTATTTTGAAAAGCTTGCAATTTAAATTGGTTAGCAGTTACATTGCAATTACTGCAGGTACTAGAAAGAAACGCATAATAAAACAAATAATAAAAGGTGATAATAAGAGTTGATAAGAGACATAATAAAAGTGTATGTATTTAATATTTTATAGCTTAATCACTATACATTTATGATCATATCAGGAACTGATATAGTTTATTGTAAACAGCTATACTGAAAATCTTTGATCTTGTTGACATTAACTCTAACGGTTAATCTGTGAGTCAGTCTGAAGACTCTTAAGCTTGAGGCATCTGGGTAAACGTTTGACTTATCTCTTATCAAGGCTTGTGACATCCAAGTAACGCAGTAATGGTTGGGTTTGCTTGGCTCCTAGCACTTAATCTCTCTCACACACTTTTAATCTCTCTCTTTATATCTGTTCATCTTTAGTCTCTCAAAGAAGCAACAGAACTTGTTTTTGCAGTTAGCTTAACACAGACTGCCTCAACCAGATAACACAGACATAACTAACTCTGGTCTGCACATGCTGTCTATCTACGGTATCTGTCCAGGCCTGAATGTGCTGCCCAACCGCTATTAAAACCCCTACATTATTAAATAAACATCCACACTGTGATCCTGGTCCTTCTTCTATATCTTAAACGAGTCTGCTTTGAGGTTAAATACATACATAAATAAATAAATAAATAGGTAAATTGGTGTATTTATTATTGAGCAATATATAGAAATACCTGTATCTTAAAATGGGCATGAAATTGGTGTCAATACCTTGCAGATTGTATCTAGTTAGCTAAGCCAAATGGTGTATAGCACTGTGGTTTTTGATGCACATCCCTGTGTTTGAGGGTGTGATCTGCATAATCTTTGTGGGGGATTTTGTTCTTACTGGTCAAGAGGATATACTCACTTTTGTAAGAGGCCTAAGTACACACTGAAATAATATTGTGCTGCACAAAGATGAGATCTTTGCTGTCCACCTCATTGTGAGAGGATGGCTTTTTCAGTCACATAAAAATAAGATTTTGTTTTTACCCCTACAACATGCATACCTCCGTGTTGTGTTGTGTATGTAGTGGAGGCCCAAGGTCTGAGACCACATTAAAAAATCTGGGATTTTTTTGTCTGTTTGGTCCTGGAAATAGAATCAGCAAAATTCTTGTTTCATTCATCAAATTACATTTGTTGCAAATTTGTGACAAGCACAAGATCTCTTTGAAGCTTTGGATTATTCTCAAATCATGCTAGATAACACGATCATCAAACTTTTGGAGTTCATGCAGCCCTAGTGTTGCTGTGATTAAAACAAATAGAACATACTAAATACTCAGAAATTTAAATTTAGAAATAAAGTTTTCAGTTCAACTTTTTTTGTAATGAAAATGAAGGAATTGAAAAAGAAAAGAAGACTCTCAGACATTTGCACCTCACTGTATGTGTTTACATTTTAATATATTGAAAAATATATCACAAAATCACTTTTGTGTGTGTGTGTGTTTTCAGGACAATCTGAAAGCAGGAATCAGCACAAAAAATGAGGAACTGCAAGACTATCAGTACAGTATGTATTATCTTATCCACAGAAAGATCATGGCTATATTTATTTTTATCTGGCCTGGAGCTGTTTAGTACTCCTATGTTAGTATGTTTTGGTGTTGTGCTCAACAGAAGAGGTACTAAAAGAACAGAAAGAATAGACATGACAAAAAAAGAACAACATGGATGTTGAAAGCCTTAGAAGTAAATACTAAATTGTAAATAGTAAAAAAGTAATAATGATGTATTATCTTTGTCTGTTGCAAACCCTTTTGTTTTTTCATAATTTGTTGGGTGTGTGTGTGTGTGTTAGCTGCCACAGCTTCGATTTCATGTGCTATTTAAACAGGATATGTGATCTCAAATGGCATGCATGACACACCTCCTTATAGCACACAAACTCCAGTGTAATCACAGTGTGTTTCTACTACAGCCCCATATTTATACTGACAAATGTCAGTAAGAGTGCCGATAAAGTTACATTTAACATGCCTTTGAGTGCACTGAGCTTTTGTCAATTAGATATAATGAAAGGATTTTGATGGTTAAAGGATTTATGACCAATTTAGGGTTAACATTATAAATCATGGCAGCATCAAGATGAACTTATTTGTTTCTTCATACAGTTTTCAAACCCATATTTGCCTCTGCAAGGATGTGCATCAACCCTAATGCTGAAGTTGAGCTAAAATCACCCAAAGCAAACCTACACCTTGAGGTTCAGAACATTGCAATTGAGATGACCAAGCCTCAGGTATAAGAATATGGCCACCATCATGGGTCTTAAGCATAAACTACTATTCAAAAGTTTGGGGTTAGTAAGATTTTTGGGTCTTTCTAGTACCTGTCTATGGTAGATCTGTTGGAGTCTATAGACTGCATGGTGAAGAACGGCCCCTACAGAAAGTTTAGGCCTGATGTTCCAGTCCACAGAAACACCAGGCAATGGTAAGTGCATTATGTCTTCATATGATAATGTTTCATATGGTTGGTCGATTGGAGCTTGGTGTTTCTGACATAGCCCTTTTGATTGGTCAGGTGGAAATACAGCATCAACAGTATACTGGAAGTGCATATCAGGCGCTTTAACCAGATGTGGGACTGGACCAACATCAAGAAGCACAGGCACACACTTAAGGCTTACAAAGCTGCATACAAAATCAAACTCACACAGAGTAAAGTCCGAGAAGACACAGAGAAACAGATCCAGGTATTAAGTATAGATGAATAGTTTATCCAGATAACATCAATGCATTTAAATACATTGGGCTTTCAGGTTTTGCTTTATTTTGCACAACCAAATCCAGTTCATTTTTTTGTTTAACTTTTTTTGTTAAATTCTTATGCTGATAAAATAATTTATAATGATTTCTTAAAAATCAGGTATTACATGTATTATTTTAAAATGAATTATTAGTCTTTCTTAAATTAGTTTGGAAAACATATCTTTTACTATTTGTTTAAAATTTTCTTATTGTGTTTCCCTCAGGAGCTGGAGAAAGTTCTGGATGTGTTCAACATAGTATTGGCCAGACAGCAGGTTCAGATGGAGGTATGACAAAATGACAATAACCTACTCACTGGTGTTTTTATATTTTTAATCTGGTGTAATAAGTTTACTTTCTCTCTCCACAGGTGGTTCGGTCAGGACAGAAGCTGGTTGCTAAAAAGGCTGCCACTCAGAAACCGAGTGGAGGAGGCTTTTTCAGCAGCTTTTTTGGCAAGAAAGAAGGGAAGAAGAAAGAGGAAGAAGAGGATAAAGAGCCTGAGAGTGAGAGTTTTATCTCTAATAATTTGCTAAGCTGCCTATGAATAAACATGGATGTGCATGAAACAAAAATGCATTTATGTACGTATGTGTTAGCAGGTATTGATTCCATCATGACTTCTGAAGAGAAAACGAAACTCTACACAGCCATTGGCTACAGTGGGAGCTCACATAATCTTGCCTTACCAAAACATGTGAGTGGAAAATATACAACTAGTAAACTGTACAGTCACGGTCACATTTACTGCAAACAAAGTCCAGTCATTTCTATAGGAATTCAAGCAATCATGAATTTCACCAAGGCCTTGGTTTGACAGTGACTTTTGTGTGAGATGTGCTTCATAAATAACTACACTATTGACAATGGACCATTAATGGCCACAAGATTTCACTAATGTAACCGCACCTTAACAAAACATGTTTCACATTGACTAAAGATTTGTAAAATACCTTATTTTAAGCATATCCTGGACATAAACTTACATGTTTATGTATATGTGTGCATATGTGCAGTATGTAGCTGTGATCGTCAACTTTAAACTGTTGAGCACCTCAGTAACATTCAGAGAGGAGCCTGGCATTCCAGAGATCCTCAAAGTGCAAATGATTGACCTCAGTACATCCATCTCACAGAGACCAGGAGCACAGGCCATCAGGTATGTACAGTACACATACATGCAGGGAAACCCTTAGCACTGGCCAACAAATATGTAAAGTACTGTATATGCTTCAGTTGTGGGAAATGTGTGTGTTGTGTAGGGTGGAAGCTAAACTGGAGCACTGGTACGTGACTGGTCTGCAGCAGCAGGGGGAGGTGCCATCTCTCATAGCGTCGGTTGGAGGCTCTGACTCTTCTCTGCTCAGCGTGCTCTTTGAGCTCAATCCAGAGGACAGCACTGCTGACCAGCTCCTCAGAGTCCACTCACAGCCTGTAGAGATCATCTATGACGCTGTAAGAGACACACAAACACACTGTAGTTATCCCTTGATTTCAGAGAGAGCTATTGGAGTTTTGGACTAAGTGGATTTTGAGTGCAGCTTAAAATTGATAATATATTTTATGTAATTTAGTTGCACAAATATGGTAGGTTGTGAATTGTCTTGACAGAAATCACATTCATGTGTCTACATTTGGTCAGTCAAATCAAGACTGACAATTCATATAATAATATAATTATATATTATATCGTATGTATATTATATACAAATATCATATAATAATCTATCTACCTATCATATGTACTTAAGTATGTATTTATATCAACAAAAATAATGGTCCCACTTTATATTAAGTGGCCTTAACTACTATGTACTTAAATCAAAAATAAGTGCAAGGTACTTATTGTGTGTACTTAATTTAATATAATAAAATAATATCATTAATATCATTAATACACGTTTGTACTTAATATAAAAAAGCAAAAATTATTACAATGAAAAAAGTTTGAAGTATCCAGATAATTAGATTAAATATAATGCATTTTTTCTTATAATGATGTATTTATTTTGTTCTTAATTTAATACATTAAAATAATATAAGTAATATATTTTTACAAATCTAATATAGAACATTTAATATGTATATATTTAGACACTAAAAATTACACCAAAATAATTAATGTACTGTTCGCTTGTTTGTTTTGTAGCTGACTGTCATCAGCATCACAGAATTCTTTAAGATGGGGAAAGGAGTTGATCTGGAGGTCATCACCTCAGCAACACTCAGCAAACTTGAGGAGATCAAAGAGAAGACAGCCAGTGGTAACTGTCTCCTCATTTCACTTCATCTCCACAGAGATACGGTCACAGTAAGAAAGCGTATGTCAGTAGTCATCTATAACTCTTTGCCTGCGTCTTTATCTGAACCCAGGCTTGTCGCACATTATTGAGACACGTAAGGTGCTGGACTTGAGGATCGATCTAAAACCCTCCTACCTGCTGCTGCCCAAGTCTGGATTCTATGATGGCAAATCAGACCTCATGATCATTGATTTTGGTTATCTGCAGGTGAGAGAGGAAAGTAAAACATAAAAGTAAAACGTATCGATAATGTCTGACTGTAAATATATGTGTGTGCATGTAGTTGAACAGCGTAGACCAGGGCAGCCATCAGCAGGTATCTGCCAGTTTCTCATCACTAGAGGAAATCATGGATAGAGCATATGAAAGATATTCCTTGGAGCTCCGCAGTGTCCAGATACTCTACAGCAAATCAGGTAAACACAGTGCAACACAGGGAAGAAACTAAACTGCCTGCACAAACTACTTTATTCACCCCTTTTTAACGGTGGCTCTTTTTGAAGGAGAGAAATGGGAAAATGCTCGTCTTAAAGGCGTCTCCCATCAGCACATCCTGCAGCCGATGGACTTCACACTTCAACTCGCTAAATGTATGGTGGATAAAGATTCCCGTATGCCCAGGTTAGCGCTTGCTTTCTATTGCATCCCTCTCTTAATCCTAATACATGCACTAAAGTCTGTTCATTTCCAGGTTCAAAGTATCAGGGGAGCTGCCGTTACTTCATGTGAAGATTTCTGATCAGAAGATCCAGGGTGTTCTGGAGCTGGTGGACAGTATTCCTCTCCCTCAGTCTACCTCATCTCCCCCTAGCACCCCCAAAGAAAAGGTCAGAAAACACAAAGATACTCTTCAAATGAAAAAACAGAGTCTATCTGTATTAGCTGATGTGTTGCTTCCTCTCACACTTAATAAGTCATGACTCATGAATGACACAGATATTTGGTTCTATTGTCATTGCTGTTGTTTTTTTGAAAGCCATGAGTATTTCAAGCCTGTAAAACTAATCGCAGTGTACTTATTGCTTTCATAGTCATGTGCTAAGTCTGAAATGCTGCTTGCTTTTATATTTAGTTCCTGAAGTTGCTCTGTGAGCATGACAGTGCAGCTTCAGTCTCCACAGATTACACAACTCAGGAAAGACATTATCCACTGTCTCTCTACCCAATGAGCCCTGTGCTGTATCTTATTATTGAACTTGCTGCCTCAACAAACAAGAAAAAGCCCTTACTAGCTTACTTTGCGAAGCAAATGTTGAAGGGTGTTCTTGATATCATCAGCTAGAACAGTGGTTCTCAAACCTCTCCCTGAAGTACCCCCAGCACTGCACATTTTGTATGTCTCCCTATATCTGACACACCCACTTCAGGTCTTGCAGTCTCCACTAATGAGCTGATGAGTTGAATCAGGTGTGATAGATGAGGGAGACATACAAAATGTGCAGGGCTGGGGGTACTCCAGGACTGGTTTGAGAACCACTGACCTAGAACATTAAAAAAAAAACCGAGTGTCTATTTACACTAGGTGCAAATAGCCCACCTTATTGGCAGAGGCTATTTACACTAGCTCCACCCACCAATGTCTGGTTGACAACATTACAAAAGATGTGCATTGAACAAAAGGCTCAGTGGCGTTGGGCGTAAAGTGCATGGCGGAATCTTTTGACATGATCGACCCGAGTTCGAATCCGCCTGTTGCCGAATTCATTCTTCTCTCTTTAACCATCACATATCAGATCGGAAAGACATTTATTTTAAATAAAAATGAAGGAAATGTTTAAAAATGGAAATAAAGTGCCTCGCGGATATTTAATAAAAAAGTGTTTATCGGGTAGGTTTAGGGGTTGGTGTAGGGAGGGCTTTATTGTCCCAATATAAGGCGGCATCCATTTAGTAATTTTAAGAAATATGATAATTTACACTCAATATGTTATTACTGCATACTGTTTTGTAATGTACTACAATAATGAGGTGCAAATATCTGCCATTTTTTGTACTAACTGTAAACATCATCTACTATTTACACTTATTGCAAAGAAAATGCTATTTTTATAGTGTAAATTTAAAGTGTAAATAAATTATTTTTGTAGTGTAAATAGAATCTATCATTATTTGCACTTAGTGTAAATAGCATATCGCTAATAAAATAATGCCATTTTCATTTAGTGTAAATATAATCCAGAGAAATAGATTTTTTAAAGAAAATTATTTTATGAATACTTGAATACTATTAAAAATGACTGTAAAGACATATGTAATGTTAAAAAAAATATATCTGTTTGAAATAAATGCTGTTCTTTTGCACTTTCTATTCACCAAAGAATCCTTAAAAATGTATATATCATGGTTTCCACAAAAACATGATCATTGATAATAATAACAAATCTTTCTTGGCACTACATCAGAATGATTATTAGAGTATCAGATTATTATGATTATTAGAATGCTTTCTGAAGGATCATGTGATTACTGAAGACTGGAATAATGGCTGCTGAAAATTCTGCTTTGCCATCAGGAATGCAATATATTTTAAAATGTATTCAAACAGAAAACCGTTATTTAAATTGTAATAATATTTTAATATTATTACTGTTTTTACTGTGTTTTTTATCAAATAAATGCAGCCTTGCATAGCATAATGGACGTCTTTCAAAAACATTAAAAAAATCTTACCAACCTCAAACTTTTGAGCAGTAGTGTAAATTTGTAGTTAAAGAAAATAGTTAAAAGTATAGTAGAAACTTTTTTTCTTACAAAAATGTTACCTGTTGACTACAATGGGTAATGTTGACTGCAGTGCGACCAATTCTAAATAATTCTAACCAGTAAGACAGTAGTATAATCAGCTTCCTTTAACACATTTTTCCATGTTCAAATCAATTATACAGATTTTCATTTTTTCTCAATATTGCCACAAAAACATTTAATGTTGGTTGAGAGTGTGAGCTTTCTGCATATGTACAGGAAGTAAACAGAGAAAATGACATTTCCTGTTGTTTGTATAATAATGATGATATTCCTCTGAAGGTATTGGGGATGCCGCTGTCTGATGCCAGGCCAAAGGTCTTGGGTTTAGACCCCACAGTTTTGTCCTATACTGTTGAGTCAGGTCAGAATTCATCTGGACGCTCACACTTGCTTTCAGATAAAAAAAAATCTTGAATACCACACAAGTATTTTGTTTTTAATTGACTCTATTCATATAATTATACACATTTTCTCGCTGTTTATGTATGCACACCTTTTCTGTTCAGACTCTGATGAAGACACCAGTGAGAAGTCTGCAGATGAAGACTCTCTCAAATCAACCTTAGAGGAACTGACCGAAGTGCAGTTTCAGTTTGAAGTCAAAGCGGTACGTTCTTCTGCATCCCTTGACACACCCATTTGTCATCAGTGGGTGCAAGATCCCCATATTTCATAAAAAAAATCATTCAGGAGTCCATCAGTTGATGACAATTATTTTGTGTATGATTTCCTGTTCATGTTTGTGTTGACCATTGTGTGTTTCAGTGTGAAGTGATGTGTATGTGTCTATATATATATATATGTTTGTGTGTGTGTGTGTAGGTGTTGTTGGAGCTTACGAGGCAGGCCGCTCAGGAGGATGTCATATTGGCTCTTAATGTGTCTCAAGTGGGTGCGGAGGGCAAGATGCGAACCTTCGATCTCACAGTAACATCTTACTTGCGCAAGATCAGCCTGGACTACTGCGAGATAAAAGGTACAGGCCCACACACAAAGTTTGACCAAGGTTTTGTTGTTTGAAGTACTTCATGTTGTTTCAGTGATGCCGTTCTTGTGTGTATGTGTTTCAGATGCGCAAAATCAGCCACTTCATCTAATTACCTCTTCAGACAAGCATGGCTCTGATCTATTGAAAGTGGAGTACATCAAAGTAAACACGAGCATTTCGTTTATCAAATACTCTATAAAGGACTCTCTTAAATGGGTAGTTTTAGCTGAGTGGTTTAATTTGTGCTGGTCTGCGTGGCTTTTTTGTGTCGTTTAGGCTGATGTCAATGGACCCAGCTTCCACACCTTATTTAATAATACAGAACAGACACTGAAGGTATGTTTAAGTTTACAGTTCCATATAATTGAATGCCATTAATCCTAGCAGTTGTTTCTATATTTGTTTGCTAATTTGTTCAATGTATTTATTCATTTAATATATATTTATTCATTGAATTATTCTACTATTTTTTTTAAATACAGAATGTCATATTTTTGGTAAAATAAATTTGAACATTTTTTGGTATAAATATTTATTTAGAAAAAAAAATTATAATACAAAAAAAAAATAAAAAAATATATATACACACACAAATATGTTACATTATTACACATTATTACATTATTATTTTTATATTCAGAAACAAAAATTAAAAAATTGTTTCATTTCATTTACTTTATTTAACAGGTGGAGTTTTCCTCACTAGACTTCCTGCTGCACACTAAAGCTTTGCTGTCTACCATCAACTACATGAATTCAGCAATACCACAAGACCTCACAACTTCTAAAGACAGAGAAACCCAGAGACAAGCTGTGAGAGCAGCAGCAGGGAAGACAGGTGCGAACAACATTACACATTTTACACATTTTATATTGAAAAGGTGTGAAAACAAATGTGTTTTGATTGTTGTCAAATTGTTAGGTAGACCCTAAATATTGCTCATGCATCTCTGTCTCCGCTTTGTAGGTTTTTTCATGGGTAACTAATTTTTTTCTTGACCTTTGCACTGGTCTTGACATGCCATGTACTAACAGGGGTCTGAAACAGTATCTGCTTTGCTTGTGTTAAAGCATGTTGCAGACAGTACTGTTTTCAGATATGTCACGTTATGTCTTGTTTGAGTGTTTTAACTGGAGTGTCTATGTTTTGTTAGTGTCTAAGGGTTCGAAGGACTCTGGTGTTGTAAACTTTAAGCTGTCTGCCGTACTCGGCTCTTTCAGAGTGTCTGTTTGCGATGACAGAAGCAACATTGCTGACATCCGGGTTCAAGGTAGAAAAAACTAAAGTGTCTGTCCTTAAAAGTCAGCATATCTTAAAATGATCACACTCTGTTATTTATTAATTTTCTGCAAGTTAACCAAACATGTTTCTTTCATTTATGTCAGGCATCGATGCATCTGTGGTGGTCCAGGCCAAAGAAACAGACGTTTTTGCCCGTCTACGTGACATTGTGGTTCTTGATGTGGACCCTAAGACCATCCATAAGAAGGTGAGAGATCAGTTATATTGTTTTTGGCATGTTTGCAGATGGCAGGTTTTTGTGCTCAGTCCTATTTTTGTGAATACTACCAGGCGGTGTCAATCGTCGGAGAAGAGGTGTTCAGCTTCAAGATGACGTTGTATCCCGGGGCCACTGAAGGTGAAGGCTACACTGACACCTCCAAAGTGGATGGGAGAGTTATCCTGAGACTTGGCTGTATCCAGATCGTCTACCTGCACAAGTTCCTTATGTCTTTATTGGTAAGAATTAATGTAAATCCACTTACCTTTCATATCGGATCTGCTTTCATATTCTGTTTGTATTACTCAGTCATTTAAAATTTATACCCATAGATAAAAGTCACTTATTGGTAATTACAAAACAAACAGGGACGGAGTTCCTGAAAACCAGTATTAGTGTCTGTATTTTCGTTTGTATTTTGTCTGGATGATTATGTCTCTCCCTTTTTCTTTTTTTTTTTTTGTTCCAGCATCTTTTCCCCCCTCATAGTTTTCGGTAACTGTGTCTTCCTCTTTTCAGGACTCTTTTAGCTATCAGTACCCCTCTGCTGATGAGGTACAGGCTTGGGCATGCAGCATTAAAGTCTTTTGCTTTGCAGCTTATCTTCAAATGCACCTCTGCACACAATGAAATATGTCCTCACCTCATTAAACTCTACTGGATTTTTTGTACACACAGTTAAACCTTTCATTTTCAAGTAAGATGGAAACATTAATCCAGGTTAACAACATTCACAGCGATGTTTATGAGACTGCCTTTGTTTTATTTCTAGTGCAGTGGTTCTTAACCAGGGATAAACCCACTAGGGGCCTCAGCAAACTTCTAATATTTATTCTCATATTTAAAAAGAAAATGAATTAAAAAATAACTGTAAAAATGCAGTTAATAAAGGAAGTATTCCATTTTTGTATCGATAAATAAAAGCAAAAAAGAAGTAAATTCTCCTGTTTCATAACAGAAGGTCAATTTTGATTTGAAACCCCATAACATTTTCCTGAGATGTTGATTTATGACAAACAATTTGAAAATTAGTCAAATTTAAATGATAATTACAAAATATTATCATATTTCCATAAGGGTATTACACTTGATCACTAAATGAATGTCAGTCATTTTTAAAGACCAAAGAGAGGGAGTAAAAACTGTGACATGTAACGTCTCAGAGAAATCACTAAAACATATTGTCCTCTACAGAGGACAAAACTCCATAGCTGGTAGTCAGGAGGATATAATCCAATCTAAATTAAAATGCTTAAAAAAGTAAAAACAATAAAACAAGCAGCTTCATCATAATCACACCAAAAATACAAAATATCTGTGCCTTATGGGGAGGCCTTAAAGGGGTCATATGATGCGATTTCAATTTTTCCTTTCTCTTTGAAGTGTTACAAGCTCTTGGTGCATAAAGAAGATCTGCAAAGTTGCAAAGACTAAAGTCTCAAATCCAAAGAGATATTCTTTATAAAAGTTAAGAG